AGAAATAAACTAGCACATTTTCAAACCTAGACACTTAGATTTTTTCCCGAAGTATCGGGTGGTCCTTCGAGTGTTAGAACATTAGCTTTCGTTGGCACAAACGTGCATAACGCCTACAAAGCTCGACTATCGTTACGGTGGACACGAGCAATTAACATATATCATGTTCCTAATGTTAGAAGAAATTTATTATCTGCGTCACAAATAGAATGTAAACAAAAGCGTTTAATTATAGATAATCATAGATTAAGAATAGTGAATAAGAAAACTAACATGATAGTGGGGGAAGCTGTTTGCAGGAATGAATTATATATTGTTAAAGCAAAAGTTATAAAGAATTGTTCAAATCAGGTTGAAATGCATGCAGTTAGTAATAAGTTAGAAGAAAGCGATAAATGGCACAAGAGATTTTGTCATGTAAGTATGCGAAGCATTCAGGAATTAGCGAACAAAGAGCTGGTTAGAGGACTAGAGAAGGCCAATATAAAGGATATATATAGAGGATATATAAGCCAATATAAAGCTACATCAAAAATAGAGTTATACATTCCACAATTGGCGATAATACTCCAGAAGGTATATGGGAAGGATTGGGAATAAACCCAGCGTAAAACACTTAAAAACATATGGATGTCTAGCGTACGCGCACATCCCGAAGATGAGCAAAAATAAGCTTAATTATAGAGCTAAAGAATGTATATTTGTCGGGTACTCATCGCAAACCGAAGGATATAGGTTATATGACCCCACGAAAGACGATATAGTCCATACTAAGCATGTAAAGTTCGTAGAAGATTTGAATGGATTTGAATATAGTATGAAAAAAGAATGTATGACATACCAATCTACGAGAGCAGGAGTGACACGATAGAAGGAGAACTTGACACAGAGGAAAATGAAGAAGAATCAGAAGAAAAGAAAGAAGAAACACAGGAAAAGCAACCCTGCAAGACGGACATCCCAAAAATAAATGAGGATTCAGAAACGGAATCTGATACAAGGAAGGTAGATAAAACACGTGTCAATTCACCACAACGAAAAAAGGTTGTGAGAAACCCGTGGGGATGCAAAGGGAAACCCACGAATATTGAAATTAATTTAACACAAGTAATTGAACCAACCACTTTTGAGCAAGCTATGTCAGTACCCCAACACGAAGAATGGAAGAAAGCCATGAATGAAGAACTACAAAGTCTAGAACAAAGAGACACTTGGGAAATGGTAGACAAAGTCGAAGGTATGAAATACATTGGTAGTAAGTGGGTATATAAAGTGAAAACAGATTCTGCAGGTAAAGTTGTGCGTTACAGAGCGCGATTAGTAGCGCAAGGATTTAATCAGAAAAAGGATGTAGACTATTTTGAATCGTATGCGCCAGTAACGAACATTTCAATTATTAGATTATTGCTAGCATTATCAGTTTGTAAGAATTGGATAGTACATCATCTAGATGTAAAATGTGCATATTTGTACGGCAAATTAAAAGAAGATATACTTATGAAGTTGCCACCAGGGCACAACGAAGCAGACAACAAAATAGCGAAGTTAAAGAAGCCGATATATGGTTTAAAATAGGCAGGGCGTAATTGGAACAATACACTTGATTCATTTCTAACCGAAAACGGATTTCAAAGATTAAAGACAAATAATTGCGTTTATGTATATAATAGCGGGCTTATATTAGCTACATATTTATGTCGACGATATTGTATTATTTTCGAAGGACGTACATGTATTGGAAAAGGTTAAGTTATTATTAATATCAAAATTCGAAATTAAAGACTTAGGGGAAGTATCTTATCTATTAGGTATAAATGTAATCAATACGGAACATAGTATGAAATTATCACAAGAACTATACATACAAAAACTTTTAGACGAGTATAACATGAATGAATGTAAACCATGTAAAACGCCTATTGAACTAGGCATACCATTGTCAAAGCGTGATAGTCCGTTAAACGAAGCTGAAAAATTAGAAATGAAAAATGTACCATATAGGCAATTGGTTGGATCATTAATGTACATAGCGTTGGCTACGCGACCAGATATAATGTATGCAGTTACGAAATTAGCACAATTTGTATCAAACCCAGGTGTCGACCCATTCCTATCGACACCTCCATCTAACTTAGAATTATCCAGTCCCTCTGCTCGTTAGGACCCATTGTTTCCCTTCAGGCCCTTTTTCCCAATCTTTACCCGTCCGATTTCCTCTTTCCAAGATTTATGTATCCGGACCTTTTCCCATCTCACATCCCATCTACTTGACCTATCTTTAGTTTTTCCTTCATCAAGACCTTACCGATAGAATCTCCTTGCAGCATCCCATTTTCCCACTCAACGAGTCAACCCGCAACCCCAAAGCCCAAGCGTCTCCCACCCTCCAAAAACCCCAGTATAAGAAGGGGACTAGGAGGACCCAAAAAAGCAGTCTAAGAAAAAACTTGAACGACATCGAACCTCTGTCGAAGTGTAAGAACATAATTATAATAAAAGTTATTGAAAACCACACAACACGGACTTCTTGAATACCTCGACGACACAGGCAAAGTACACTGGATGCAGGCTAAAAGAGTGTTAAGATATTTATATGCAACGAGAGAAAAAGGTTTACAATACAGTCGCGGTATTAATGAGATAGAAATGTATAGTGATGCGGATTGGGCAACAGACACTGACGATAGACATTCGCATAGTGGAATGATAGTGTTTTTGAGTGGTAATCCAATCGCATGGAAGTCTAGTAAACAGAAATCAATTTCTACTTCCACAATGGAAGCAGAATATATAGCGTTAGAGAATGTAGCGAAAGAAGCAATGTGGATGAGCATGTTATTTAATGAGTTACAAAATTTGTTAAACGTAGATGTACCGCGTGAACCTTATATAATTAGGTGTGACAACAAATCAGCTATCGATTTTACAATAAATAGAGTTGAGCGATCCAAATCTAAACACATAGATATCGCGTATCATATTAGTAGAGAAAAATACGAGGAAGGTCTCATACAGTTAAAATACGTTCCTTCTAGCGATAATATAGCGAACATATTCACTAAGGCGTTACCATATAATGTAATGTGCGTTCATGTAGATAATTTAAAATTGCGTTAGTTTAGAATGTAAAGGGATTCAAATGTGCTCCAAAAGTGGGGGATTGATGGATGTTTGTAACGCATTTGAATCACGCGCGATTGACCGGATAGGCGATCTTCGGCTGATCGACGATCGATAGATACGAAGTTATACACACGCCGTTTTTTTTCGTTCTTCTTTTTGTGTTTCCATTCGACGACGAATTGTAGTATGTTATAGTATGTATTATTAACCATTATCAATAAATATATTTAGTTTTTATAACAACATATTTTATATAGACTTTAGACTTGAATAGTAAAAATACATACGTATGTACGTAGTAGAGTTAGAGATATTAAAATGAGGGATATGAATAAAAGTTAATTATAAAATAATTGCATAACAGGTTTCATAAAAGATGCAATTAAATTTTTCACAATGTACCGTCAGTAAATAGCGCAGATACATGTTACTACAGTAACAATGATTTTAATAATTAACCAAAAATTTTTGTATTTTAACCATTATGAACTATTACAACTATTACTATTTTGTAATTAACTATTACTTACTTTCTACATGTTAATATTTCTATACCCTTTATATAAAAGTACTACGATTGGATACATGTCTATACTTTATACTCATACATTTATTCGCGAACGAAGAACAGACAAAAGAGAGGTGCATATGCGTGAGTGTGTTTCACTTACGTCAAAGCCGACCCTGAATGCATTTTGCGACCGCTTCAGATTACGCTTGCATCGTGAAAAAAAGATCGGTCGATTCATTTTTTAGCGATCACCCGTTGTAATTGTGCGTCTCGATGTAGTCTGTACATATATATGTACATATATATTTTGTTCCTTAAAAACGATATGTATCACTTAAGTCAATCAATTCAGGATACAATCACTTACGGAAGTCTATGTATATTCTATTAAAAAATCATTTTAGTTAAAAAAGAAAGTCAAGTACGTAAAGTTTTAATGCGGTTTTTTTCATCATCTCAAACTTTGAATTAAAATCCTTTACAACGTATTAGATTATTAAAAAAAAGGCATATTATAATAAATAAGAAAGGCTTGAAAATATTGTGACAAAAGAATTGAAAAAACATTGCATTAAGCTTCTTTACGAAATTAATATATTTTATACAAAAAAATCTCTAAATCTGTACCTACACTTTTACGAAGTGTTCAATTTATTTTTTACTCATTTATCCTATTATTCTGATAAAATTATACATTTTATTTTAAATCTGTTAATATTTCCTTATATGTTATTACATAAATTCATTATATATTTTAATTACAGTAGACTTACTATGAACTATGTGAAGAATTTCGTGATTGACTGTAAGTACAAACGTGATTACGTGACGAGTGAAACGTAATTCGTCTTTTTTTTTAACACATACGTACGGAAGTTTATTTATTTGAATGATTGGTGATAATTTTATAATTAGGTTAGATAATTTTGTATCGAGATAATTTCTGATTTTATTTGAAGAAATTGTATTGAATCTATTTTATAAAACTTTTGTATGAGAACCCAAAATGATAAATTTAAATAGTTAATAATTGGAGCCGTTAAATTCGATCATAAACATTTTATAGGGTATCGTAAGAATATTACTTTCTAAATTTTATTCGGAAAGAAAGCTTAGTATTAAACAAAGTTTGAAACTAGTAGAAGAATCGTATGGTTGTATTTATTATAAATAATAATAAGAAATATTTTACAATAGTGACTCAAAATAATAGTAAATAATAGTAACATAATAGTAAACTTTGAAAAATAATCAAAATTAAAAAATAACTAAAACTGAGACCTAATAATACTAATTTACTTTTTTGTTATCTACTTTCTATGAAATTCCATGAAAATTTCATTATAAGATATATAAAAATATTTATGCTAAAACTCTAGTGAAAATTGAGATTCAAGTTTTAAAATGAACTTGAAATCTGATGAAACTGGTGGATTAAATTAACATGATATCACTGTCGGTCTGACCTATCACATTTGGAATATCTCTTGCGTCAATTGTAAGTGTGACCCGTAATTATCAATTTCGAACTACTTTTAATATTGAGAAGACAGCGGCTAATGCACGAAACAACACTTCCGTCGGTGAGCACGAAACTATCGATATTCTATAGGAACAGAAATTAAAAAAACTTATTTTAATGTACAAGCGATTATCTATGAATATGAACCATTTACGATAATAATATATTAAAGACACAGTACTTTGCGTGAAGAACATTGCGTTCTAAGATAGAGTCTATTAGTCATGTTGAACTTTTAGTTCCTAGCACACCGAAGAGAATGAATCCAAATACTATCGAACAATAAATTCAATACGATCATTAATTGAATTTTCATTGTTTTCTACTTACTATATAATAATAAAAATCTTTTTCCCAAAAATTTCGAAGTCATCGATTAAAAGGTCATCCACATAAATAATAAGAACAAAGATATGTCAGTAGAACATAACCCATTAAGTTCTAAATACATAATGTAATTATAATAAACTGGTACAACTTACCGTTTTAGAAGAAATACAGGTGTCGTTCAAATAAAGATGATGCGTTTCCCATCTTCTCAAGAACTTGCTGGAGAGTATCTTTCTCACCAAAGTTTTCGTATGGTTCAAGAAGCACACCTGGATATCCCCTTCTTCTACGGGTTTAAACCTAGGCCCAACAGGCCCGGGACTGAGACTAGAACTAGAGGATCCGCTAATTGGTGAACAACCAGCACTTTGTCGTTCTAGATTCGGACACGATCTGGCGGCTGGTAAACAAAACGAAGTCTCCAAGCCCTCTGGCTTCAAGGTGTCCATCCGACAGTTCTTTTCGGAACTACAGATATCAGTTGATTCCGCGCTGGATCTGATGTTGCTACCCAAGGAAAGCTGTGGGGAACTGGTACTGGTCATCTCCTGACGCATTGCTCCGCCATTCACACATAAGAAGTTGTAGTAGGGTACAGTTGAAGAAGATAGACCGGTAGCCGATGGGCCCGCCGGGCTCAACGGCAACGATGATCCCTCCTCCGTCTCCGTTTCTGTCTCTTGATAAATATTCTCCTTCTGCAATTCGCTGAAGGTGTTCTGTAACGAGGATATATCATTCTCTGAAGTCGCTCGACAATTCTTGAGAGATTCCTCAGGTTCCACGGAATCGATAAGAACTGATGGCGAAGATTTCGTCAACAGGGTTGCGGTATTTCCGGTTTTGTATTCGTTCTCACGATCTCTAGAAGATCCGGGAGATTCAGTATCGATGGAATCGCTCGCCGGGGAGTGAGATGTGACAGAACAAGCTTCTTTGTTGCTGGAGCTGGAAGACTCGTTTGACCTAAGTCGCAGGAGCAGTTTTCTGCAACGTCTGTTGCTGTAGAACTTTTTCTTAGGAGATGCTTTCGTAGAGGATGACAATGGATAATTTTGATCTTTGTCTTCCAACAGTTTCTTGTAATCAATCTCTTCATTCACGCCGTTGGAAACAATCGCGGTAGGCGCAGTTAAAGAGTCTGGTCCTGGCGACAGAGACTCCGGATCTAAGTAATCTGCTTTTATATCAGGAAGCGTATCTGTACTGCTGCTCGCCGAAATCGAGGGTTCCTGATCGATGTATCTGATAGACGAGCCAGAATCTTCGCTGGTCGCCTCAGAACCTCGTCTGTCGCATTTAGAAGCTGAAGACGATTTACTCATCGGCAGAATCATGCTCATAGAGGTGGTTTTCCCCTTGCTGGAAGACAGAGGAGATACCAACACGCGAGAAGCGCGTGTAAAAGGAGTTTGGAAACAAAACATGTCCAACGAATATCTTCCTTGAACGTTCACAAAACCATAGATCGTGCCTTTGTTCTTTCTCGATTGATGTCCTCTGTGCGGAAAAGCTGGCCACTGCTGTTGCCGTGCTATCCTACTGACCTAATTCGGTCCAGCCCGATCGACAACACGTTCGACCCGAATTTCGTAGAAACAGTTTTGCAGTTCGAAATTCGACCTCAAGGAAAAGTTAGCCTCGTCGTTCCACTTTTTCTTGCCTCGTTGTTCAAATCCCTCCGAAAAACGATCAATTAAGCACTCATGGAACTCTGGTCTGACCTAGAAACGGTCGTTCACCGCCTCCCTCATTCATATAAAGCAATTCAATGAGCAACGGGAAGTACTCACGTTAACTAGATCTTCGCTCATACTAATTCCACCATTGTGACAAGGAGATTCCGCGAAATGGTCAAGCCTCGTCGTCCACTTTTTTCTTCACGCGTTGTAACGGATCACGGCACATTTTGATTGTGAAAGCACTGTATCGACTGTCCACTTGCTTAATTCCTACTCACCTGGTCGGATCATGAATGTAGTACGAAACAACTGCATAACCACCATGGCACTTTTCCCTCTGGAAAAATCAGTCAAACCAAAACGTCGACGTATAGTACAGTTCCGTATCACTGAGCAGCTCGAATTTATCGCGGAGATGCCTGGAGTCGATGAACGAATCACGAAAAACAGCGAAGGAGAGAAGAACAAAGTGGGAGGAAGGAGAGAGCAAGAGAAAGAGGGAGGCGCGTTTCCAACGTGACGCTTAAATGTCTGATACGGTTGTGAACAGGGCAGGTGGGGACGCTGGGGTTAAGAAAAGGAGAGGGCGTCGCAGCGCTTGGCGTCTCCCGACCGATCAATGACTAGTCGTGAGTTTGCTTGAAATTATCACGTTTCCCGACGGCACGACTTTTCACTTTCTCTCTCGCTCTCTATCGCATAACAGACAGAATGGAAAAAATCACATTAAACTAAACTCAAATACCAAACTGCATACAGAATACGTTGAACATGTTAAAATAATTCAAAGGGTTTTTCTGAAGTTGAGGCGGAACCATTGAATTTTCGCACTGCGCATCCAAAGCGCTTCCCTTTTTCAAGCGGTTCTTTTTGAAACGAAATTCATGCACGGTAACCTCAACTTCTGAAATACGTCGTACTTTTCTTAACTTATGGAACCGATAATTGAATGAGCAAATGTTTAGACAATATAACTAATTGTAAGTAATTATTTGTTTTAACAGTGCTAAATTGTATAGTAATTTACTATCAATTGATTAATTAATTATTTAAATTTATAAACTTTTAGTTAGTTTTTATTTAATTTTATGAACATATTGTAATTAATTCTGTAAAAAGTTTATATCATTTTTTATTTCAATAACATTTTGACTATCTTTGGATCCCTCTTAGGCTAAATTATAAAAAGCATTAAAGTATTAACAAAAAATAAGCAGACACAGAATGCAATTATTAATCAAGTATCACGTACATATGGTATATGTACCTCTGATACAGCAAAAGATTACATTTTTTCATCTTAAGTAATACCTTACCGTACTAAAATATAAAATTAAAATTGGTTTCAATATGCAATTCAACTCCTTTAAAATCAGTTTTCAGTCATGAGGAAAAACAATTTACCAATGGATTTAGTTAATTTTTTAAATTTCAAAAAACGAAATAAACTTAATTTCATACGAAATTTAATATCTAAAGTGAGTTTACAACCAATTACGTGAATCACTGCTAGTGGATTTGCAATGGCTAAAGTTATAAGAAGTAAGAAATCATTTATCATCTAATAATAAACTTCCAAAATAATCCAAAAATATTAATGAGTTATACATTGCTTGTCGACATTATAACGAATATTGTTGTTTCTAATTTTTATGATGATTAGTGGAAATAATGGAATTTCGAGATAAGGTTGTAAACAGAAATTGTTTCATTTTATAGATAGACAGTAATAAAGACTCTTTTATAAAGAGTTAGTAAAGATTTTATAGGATGTTCCAAACAAAGGAAAAAAAGAGGCTAATTATAAAGTAAAATGACAGCTGCATAATACAGACACCATAAGCAGCAGTAAATTTGACAATTCTACTTTTGTACACAAAATATTCTTATGTATAATTTATAAAGTATATATGTATAGATTTTTTAATCCGTTAAAAACTTTTTTTACTACGTACAATTTTGTGCGAATTTCTGCTTTAAAAATTATACTTTTTTCTAAAGGTGATCATCGTTTCTGCAAATATAAATATTTGAATATATTCCTATGTGCTTATCATAAACACTGAAGAAATTCATACAAATCATTTAAGCATTCTAAACTAAAGACTGTAATGATATATTTCTTAAAAAATAGTTTATTTAAGTATGTATATCAATACTGAAAATGTGGTTGAAAAATTAAAATTTTTGAAAAAATTATTATTGACATAAGTCATGGATGGAATTCAAGTTACAGATATCGATAAAAAATATATGTTAAACTTATTGACCGGTTGATTAACGATACTGTACCGGATGTTTCTCATAACTGAATCAAATTATATTTTTAATGCGATTATAAATGAAAAGAAGCGATAGAACAAAAAGTTAAACAATAACAGAAGATCTATATTTCTATATTTTAAACTTCTTTATAAGCACAACGATGTGTATAAAAATTACATGTGTACCATTTCTTTTAATGGAATTAATTATCTATTTCTTTTTATGTTAATTAATTTCATGAAACATTCTGTATAAAATAGTGTTAAATATTACAGTGAAAAAATCATTTCTTCTCGAGTAGTTCTATAAATATTAGAGCACAAAGAAAAGAAATTTGAAATTAATGAAATATTTTAAATGTTTGTATAAAATATCCGACTTAAAAAATCTTATAAACTATTGATATTGTTACTATTATACTTTAACAGATTTTTATGCAGAATGTTCTAAAGAATCTATTGTATAAACAGAAGTGTCCAGTTTTATTTAAAAGAGAGATGCATTTGTATTTTTTATATGGATTGTTATGTTCGTGAACGATTTCGAATTATAAAAATATAGATCTGTTTATACTATTCAACTTCTTCCTATTCTGATTGTGAACCTTATTCGGGCTTTTCGAAATATTTGTCCTAATTATTACATATATCCTATACACCTAAATATACTTTAGTATAAGAAATCTACTTAGCTTTCGCAAAACAAAGCAAACATTAGTTTATAGGAATACCACTTCTCCGATCCAAATAACTGATAGGGAATGCGTTCACGTAAAAGTAGTAATTTACAATTCCTTAAATATTTTATAAAACGTATAAAGGAAAATATTTGAATCGGTAAAAATTTAAACCTTCGATTTTGTTGTACTTCTTTACATTTCCAAATCTCTTGAATCCAAATATGATAAAATGAAGTGTAAAAGTAGTACCTACATGTGCGTATATCTAGAATATACATACATATATATATATATATATACATATAGGTAGGTACTACTTATGTTAAAGACTTATCGTTGATTTATTTAGTTTATTTAGTTTTTAAGTGAAAATTGTATAAGTATGGGTTATGTGTGAGTGAATGTAAAATAACCATGGTTATTCGTTGTGCGAAATATTGTGAATTGCGAATATTATATTGTAAAGGCGAATGTAGCGTTAAGTTTATTTTGTATCGAAGAGCGAAATAAGAGCGAGCGAGCATTAGTAAACTTCTTAGAAACGATGCCTAGCTGGCGATCTCCTT